GCAGGCGCTGGTTTCACACAACAGTTGTGGATTCAGAGCCCAGCACTGAGACTGGGCTTTTTACAGGACCTCCTAACTATTACTGACTGCGACTGTTCCACTCCAGCACTGCTTTTGATGTCATAGATCGCCCCCGTCTGAGGTCAGAGGGACTGCACTGACCTACAGGAGGACCCAGCTTCCTGAGAAACCCGGCTCTCACGAGGAACCTGATTTGACTAAACTTGCTGTCATACATCCTCAAAACGTTTTCTTTAAACCTGCATCTCTACAAAGACAGTTACTCTTCAGTAAGATCACTGCGTGCAGCGTGTATACCATCAAACCACTGGCAGCCAGCTCAGGCAGCGTCATGGAGGCTGGGGTCGTGAGGCGGTTTCGAGCTCGTGTGAGCTGCAGCATCACTCCATCCATGAGCTGCAGCATGAACACAATGTGATGTTAGTACCAGCAGCACCAGGAGAGGCAGCTGTGTGCTGACAGGGACACACCTTGTTGACCTCAGCCCCAGACTTGAAGTGGTAGCTCTCGTCACGGCTGCTCAGCAGCTGCAGAGCCTGGTTCACGTGGTTCCTGGCATCTTGGATCTGATGGGCCACAGAAACGAAGACCAGTGAAGGGTGGGGGCCATACGTTAACACAAGTTCATGAATAAAACTGTCCGGTATCACCTCTCGGGTGGTCTGGACTAGACTAGCTGATGACTTACAGATCTTCACCTGTGAGTCCTCAGGTGCAGCTACTCATACGGATAATAAGTAAAGCTTTACACTGTGAACATGTTTGTTTGGTTTTCCATGAGCTACCATAGAGAGGAGCAAACTTCTGTTTGACAACATGATCATGCAAATGAAAACAGGACTTGAATAACTGGTAAACTCTGTACAGAGAACAATGACAACGCTGTTATTCCTAACTACAAAAAAGTGTGCAGCTTGTGGTCCATCACTGCAGAGCTCAGATATTAAGACAAACTCAGTGTTTGCAGCCGATCACGGAGGCTGTGGGACAAACATCTTCCACTGTAGAGAAGATCCAGCGTTTGTTGTTGATGTTACCAAATATCAGACATGTGAAAGAATCTAACATGTCGCTAACATGAGAACAACAAGTATCTGTGACCAGTGTCACATTTCCAACGTAGACGTGAACAAGTGCTGCTGCGTCTGCCTCCACCCACCTGGCAGTGATGGCTCGCAGCATTAACAGTGCTCGGCTATGAATGTCAAACTGTGTTTGGTGTAATTAATGCAAAGTGTTGATTCAATTCAAAGTCACGTTAGAAGCTCGCTGGTTGTGATGTGGTCAGGCCGACCTGGTCAGAGGCCCCGCCCCCCTGATGTTTGTCATTAACCTGAACACTGACACCTGCTGACAGTCTTATTTTATATGGATGCATCAGGTCATACTTCTGTGATGTACACTACACGTGTG